TCTCTAATAATTTTTGACAAATAAATGGTGGCAGTGGCAGTGGCAGTGGCGGTAGTGGATGGTGGAAAGCGGTAATAGTGCAGGTGGTGGTGTTGGAAGACAGCAGTGGTGGCAATGGTGGAAATTGGTGGCAGCAGTGGTGGTGGAAGGTGGCAGCAGTGGTGGTGGAAGGTGGCAGTGGTGTTGGTGGAAGGTGGCAGTGGTGTTGGTGGAAGGCAGTGGTAGTAGTGTGGTGGTTGTGATGGAAGAAGATAATGGTGTGACTATGGTAGTGGTGGAAGGCAGTGATGGTGGTGGTGGAAGGTGGTGACAATGGTGGTGGTGGTGGAAGGCGGCAGTGGTGGTGGTGGCGGCGGCAGTGGAAGGCGGTGGTGGTGGTGAAAGGTGGTGGCGATGGTGGTGGTGATGGAAGGTGGTAAAAGACGATGGCTGTGGTGGAAGGCGATGGCGGCATTGTTGGTGGTTGTGGAAGGCGGCGGCGGCTGTGGTGGTGAAAGGTGGCTGTGGTTGTGGCGGTGGCGGTGGTGAGTTGTGGCGGTGGCGGTGGTGGTGGTAGTGAAAGGCAGCAACAGTGGTGGTGGTGGAAGGTGGTGGCAGTGGTGGGTGGTGAAAGGCAATGGCAATGGTGATGGTGGAAGGTGGTGGCGGTAACAATGGTGAAAGGCAGTGGTGGTGAAAGGTGGTGGTGGTGGTTGCGGCAAACGGTGGCGGTAACGGTGGTGAAAGGCGGTGGCTGTAGCGGTGGTGGTGGAAGGTTATGGCAGTGGTGAAAGGCAATGGTGGCGGTGGTGGTGGAAAGTGGTGGGCGATGGTGAAAGTCGGCGGCGGTGAAGGTGGCTGCGGTGGTGGTGGAAGGCGCCGGCGGCGGTAGTGGTGGGCGATGGCGGTGGTGGAAGGCGGTGGTGGTGGAAAGTGGTGGGCGATGGTGAAAGTCGGTGGTGGTGGAAGGCAGTAGTAGTGGTGGTGGTGGTGGAAGGCAGTAGTAGTGGTGGTGGTGGAAGGTAATGGTGGTTTTTGGACTTAGAATATGAGGGTGTTTTGGGAAGTCGATTTTTTAAAATAAATTACTTGGGAATGGAATAGCCATTCCATAGGTTTAGTTGTGGAATGGATTTTCATTCAAATGGAATGGCCATTCCCACTTTAAGTTGCATACCAAATAAAGGAATGGTTGGAATGGGCATTCTATTCCATTCCATTCCTCCACACTAAACGTAGCATAAGAGCTTTAATTAGTCAAATGAAATAGACATGAAGAACAATTGGAGTCGGTACACACTGACACGTGTGGTCTTATGAACATCCAAGCACGATTACTCACATTTTGGATACATTTACCTGATGCGACATAAGTCTTAAACTTTTGGAATATTCTGAAAGTGTCAAGACTGATATGGAACACAGATTAGGTAAAGTTATCAAAACACTTCAATCTGATCGTGGATATGAGTATTTCTTGGGATAGTGCAAAGACTATATGGTCAATGAGGGTGTATTGTACTAGTTTTTCACAATTGACGCTCAATGATATGAGGTGTCAAATAGGAATAACAGAAATCTGCTTAACATGGTTAGATCTATGATCAGCTATGCTACATTATCTCTTTCAATTTAGAGTTTAACCTTGACGATATTAATGCACATTATGAACTACATTCCATCTTAGTCTGTCTTAAGGATACTTTTTGAGCTGTGTTTTTAACTAAATCTTAGTTTGAATCACATGTACATATGGGGTAGTTTTGCACATGTGCGCTTGATATGGACAAGTAAGTTGGAAGCAGATCATATGTATGATAGATTTTATAGCTACTCTAAAGGCACTAGGTTAGATTATTTTATGATCTCAATGATAAAAGTTGATTGTTAACACTTACTGTTTCTCTATAGGAGGATCATATTATGAATCATATACCTAGTAGCATAATATTAGAGAATATGGTATGAGTACCAGATGTACTACAAATAAACATACTTATTACAAAGATTAAGAATTATATATGAATTCCCTATTGATGCGTCAACATCATCTAGTACATAGATTCCTGCATTGGTACATTGATGTAATGGGAGGATTATCATCCAATTCGATAAAATCATGTTTTTAGGTAAGACCGTTATGGACATCCCTGTTAAACATGAGTTGGACATAGTAAGCTACATGGAAGCGTGAACCGATATGGATATAGATCGCTTTGGCAAGTTGCTATGAAATCAAAGTTGGAATCTATGTATTCTAATAAAATCTGGGATCTTGCAGAACTTTCTAGTAGGGTGATACCTATGGAAGGCAAGTTAATCTACAAAAGGATACCAGAATATTTCTTAGTGAATGAATTATGTGTGTGCAGGGTAATGTCGTTATTTTTTCTAATTCTATATATTGATGACATCCTACTCATTTAGAATGACGTGGAAGTTTAGTCATTAGTAAAGAAGTAGTTGTTCAATTACTTTGGAATGAAGGATTTTCAAAATGTAAGATATATTCTTAGGATCAAGCTTTTGCAAGATCAGATTAAAAGAAAAATATGATTATCTTAACAATCCTACATTAATAAAGTTTTGACCAGGTTTGGTATGTAAAACTCAAAGAATGAGTTCTTACTTTGACATGGATTGTTCTCTCTAGTAAGTAGTTTTCCAAGACTAGCAGAGGAGATTGAGCAAATGAGAGTGGAATAGTATGCTTCGGCATGTGGGATTCTCATATATGCCATGATCTATACCAAACAGGACATCCGTTGCATTGTAGGGATTGTCAGTAGATATCAGTCCAATCCCGGACTTGATAACTGGTCTGTTGTGAAAAATATCATAAAGTACCTTAGGAGAACCAATAATCTCATACTTATTTATGGATGTGATGATGTAGTTCCAATCGGGTATGCTAGTTCTGATTTTAAATCAGATGTAGATATTATAAGGTTTATGACTTGGTGTATGTTCACTAAATGGAAAGGAAATCAGTTGGTAAATTGTTAAGCAGATTTCAACTTCTGACTCAAACCTGAAGGTGGAGTACATTGTATCCTTAAAGGCAGCAAATGAAGCCTTTTGGTTTGATCTCACTGATTTAGAGGTTGTGGAGCATACTAGTCTGCTTATCGAGCTATATTACGACAATAGTGCAGACGTAGTCCAAATCAATGACCCAAGGCTCTATAGAGGAACAAAGTACATTGAGAGGAAGTATCATGTCTTACATAATATTGTTCGGCAAGAAAATGTACTCATGGCTAGAACATTGCATTGGAACACACCTTGTTGATCCATTAACAAAGGTATTATCGATCAATAGTTTTGATCGTCAACTGGATAACATTGAAGTTAGATGCAATTTGAATTGGCTATGAGGGTAAGTGGAAGCTGTTGGGATTTATATGCACTGGCATAACAAATTCCTAATTGAATTATAGTGACATATGTTTCTGACATATCTGAAATATTTATGATTTATATAATTGGTGAATTCAATGTATTATGTTTCAGTTCATTATGGAATTGATATTGTCCACTTGATTACAAGAGATAGTTATATATGTATGTGATGGGGATCGATACATGAATATAAATAGTAATCATAAATTGTTCATAGTCGGTAATTATGGATGGACATTTAATTAACTAAGACTTGAACTGAGTCCATGATAGGTTGAGATATATTGCGAGAGTCGTCGGATGCAATTGTTCTATATCACAGTCATGTCTTTTGACTCTCAAGTATGAGAAAAGTATAAACTCTTTTATTAATTAATAATTACTTTGATTTCTTCGGCGGATACTTCGGGATCCTTAGACCGGCACTTTGGGTAGTTATGTAATTAATAGTTAGAGGGTTATATTCTCAATATTTGCATCCATGCTACTTGTATTTATTTTTGTATTGATTATGATTGATCACAAATTAAATTTGAAGGCATTCGTATGTTTTAGACAAAATATTTTTTATATATTTATTTAGTAAATTTTTATTTTTTGTCAAACAAACTTTTATTGTGATCAAGCCGAAAATAATTAAAGGTAACAAAACAATTATATTAATTATGTTGTCGGATTAACGACTTTATAATCTGATAAATAATTATACATAGAGGGGTCAAAGTGCAACATTGACTTAGAGGTTATTTACTATTTAATTGGAGTGCAGTTAATTTCTTTTAGTGAAGTAGAAATTAATTTATGAATTAATTGAATTGGGTCCATAGTTTAATGGACCAGACCAATTATTAATTTATAGTAGCCAAGAAAATGGTAAGCCCAAAGGATTTTTACCAATAGCCCAAGTTGATGTTGAAGTCCTATTAGAATTGAGATATGTGAATTAGAGATTGAGAATGATTTATTGTTTCCTTTCCTTATCTTTATGTTGCCTATATATACATGGGTCCATGCATATTTTAAGGTAGACTTTTGGAAGAAAAGAAATAATATATTTTCTCGCTTTAGTTTTTAGGGTTTGCTTTCTCTTCTAGAGGAGGTTACCACAAACATTGCCTCCAAGGTCATACATCGAGGTATATTGGTGACTCTTAAAGGGAAGATTACTATCAATAAGAGGAGAAATGATCTTGCTAAGGGATTTACAATAAGTGAGAACATTCACTTTAGAGGGAAGATTTAAAGATCTACTCAAACCTTTGATGTAAGTATTCAATATATTAATTGAATGATACATCATCTTTCATATTTTATTTTTGCATAAAACTTGTCTTTATATAATGAATCAAGATCTATATATGAAAATCCCTCAAAAAGTTTTTAAAACTTGTACGTTTCCCAACATAAACTGCCACATAGATTAGGTCAGAGAAATCGATTAATCTCTGTGCAAGTATCATTTTCCTAAATATATATGTATTGTACGATCTCTGTTGAGAATAACATCAAACTCCGTCTCATCTCCCGTTGACGTAGGGTATTTGCCAATCATGTTGTATTCTCTTTTATTTGTTGCTTTATGATCACTTTCTTAGTGTTCATATTGATTAAGAACCTGGTTTATGAAATATAAGCTTTATTTGAAATAACTTACTTTGATTTTACATTGATACTTTTAGTGGGAAATCTTAAAGGTATACATTGGGAAATCTTGAACGTTTACATTTTATGCAAATTATTAGTCTCACTAGCTAACATGCACATAGGATTGCTTAGTTTTGCATTTGGGCATTGTTTGGTTTGCCCAATAAACTAAATCTGCATCATCTCCTGGAAAGTCTTCATGGCAGTAACCGGCAGACCGAGAAGCAAAGTGGTTCCTTTCTTCTCCTTTCCATTAGAGAGGAGCAAAGCCACTTCTTTCTCTGGCAAGGTCACACAGCCTGACTGTGCTGGCTCTCCCCAACCGAAGTCTGTAGTGTCGAAAGAAAGTCTAGTCCATGAAGTGACCAGAAGAGTGGCTGTTAATGAAGGCCTTGCTCTAGTTAATTCAAAATAGTCAATTGTTGATCTGATAAAGTCGTCAGTGACCACTTTAATAGCATTCTGCACAAGTTCTACTGCAAAAGAGAGTGGTTTTTCGATCAACTCTTTTGCAGTGCAAAGACAACAGGTCAGCACAATCCCATTGCCAAAATAACCTTTTGGCAATGGTGGGTTGAACTTGGACCTTCCATCAACAGCAAACAGTAGCTTGGTTTGTTGGTTAGGTTCCATATTCAGTGCCCTGCTTCGAGCACGCCACACTAAAGCTGCAAGCACTGTGAAGCTTGTGCAGCTCTTTATCAATCCGTTTTCCATCGCTGTTTTCTTTAGCATTGCCAGCTTCACAGGATCAAATTCAAATGATTTATACATCAATTGCTCTTCTTGATAGAGACTAGTCATATTTGATGCGTCGGTTATCTCCAAGAACTCGTCGTGAGTGTATTTGATCTTAGGAGGTTGTCTTGATCCCTGGATGGATCTATCAAGAAATGGTGGGATTGTTAAGGATATGCCTCTTGCTGTTTCAGCCCATGAATTTACAAACTCCATTGCTGATATCCCATCAGTCATACAATGGTTAATGGTCATTCCAAGTACAAATCCTCCACACTTGAACCTTGTCACCTGTAAGAAAGAGATGACCAATAATACAATCTTTCAACAGGGAAAAAAAAAAAAAAAAGAAAAAATAGAAAAAGAAAGAAGAAGATACCAAGAGAAGTCACATATCAAACTAATTAACACAAGATGATAGATTATCACTCAAAATTAACATCTCTTGCGCATTGGACGGTCCAATAATACATAGAGGAGAATGGAGTCCATTCCGCTGAATGGACCCCATATCATGTGTGGTGATCTCCACCATCTCTTATGCATTGGACTGTCCAAGAGGGAATCCAAGTTCAAACATTTACGTAACAAAAAGGATTAACTTACACCACATATCCAGTTTTGTGCCAACTTTGTCATTTTTTATGCGCAATCATTATTATGTTGATTCTCTCTCAGGCTAAACAATTCAGCTTATTCCTGGCTTTACAGCCACTTTTACCTAAGCAACAAAGAAGCATAATTGGATTTTTACAGACATATTATGCTTAATTTGTTTTCTACGTTCCCAAATCTTGTAACAATAAATTACCCCAAGTGTCCAAGAACATTAGAGTGAGAAAATCAGAGAAAAACAAAGAAGTAAGAACATTATGAAAGACTAAAGAGCCGTCAATTTTGAACAAACATGAGGATGCAGATAGACCCCGTAGTTTATATACGATTAATGAATTTCCTAATAAATAATCAGAAAAATTAGATTAAGTACTTAATTAGAGGCCATCAGATCTATCAAATGCCCACCAGTGGGCCTTATTGTATAAATATTAGGAAAGACTAAAGAGCCGTCAATTTTGAAGAAACTCAGGTGCAGATAGGAACTGTAGTTTATATACGATTAATGAATTTCTTAATAAATAATCAGAAAAATTAGATTATGTACTTAATTAGAGGCCATCAGATCTATCAAATGCCCACCAGTAGGCCTTATTGTAAAAATATGATTTCTCTGAGCATAAAAATCGAGTTTATCATAACACAAAAGGCTCCATAACATGCATTGGAAGTGTCAAACATGAATTTTTCATTTTCTACTGCATGGGTGCATGCATGCTGATGCAGATGGAAATTAATGAACTTGTTTATGATGAATATGAACATGATTTGTACCTGCACAGTTAGCAGAGGCATTTCTAGTACGTTTTTCGCGCCAGGAACTGTATGAACAAGCTGTCCTAGCATTGCAGGATCAGGAATCGTTACGTCACCCAACACCTCCATATCAGAGTTAGCCACAGCCTCAACAAAAGGCACACCTTGGTTTGTGCACTTCACAATAAGCTTACCATTTGCACTCAGTGTTAAACTCCCTGCAAGCGGATAAAAATGGACTAGAACTTTAGCCAGCGCTCGTTTAATAACTTCACCAACAGCCTCACTACTCTTGTTAACATCTGGTTTGAAACAGTACACAGTTTGAATTATGACAGCAATGTTCTGATCTAAATTGGATAAAAAATAAAACCCATCATTGGTTTTTGTCTTGGGTCGAACTAAAATAGGTTCTGATTTCTTAATAGAAACAATTCCCCCATTTTCACATATTCCTGCCATTGAATTACACTCTTTAACCTGCACAATAAGCACAATAAGCCAAAAGGTAAGCTAGATTAATGCTATAGAGAATTAAAGAGCAAAAGGATTAATTTTGAACACATAAAGATGATTAGTATCTACCTTTAATTTTTGTAAAGAAACTAACTCTATTGAGCTTGCATAGCCACTTCATAGAATGATATGTCTCTTATATACACTGGTATTGGTTGTATGGTTGAGCAGTTATTTTCCATATTGAAAGCTGCTGGGATAAGATAGTTAATAGGTGATGTAATTGCACGACAGCAAGTTAGAGTTCCGAAGAAAATTATTAAAAATAAAATAAAATAAAAAATCTAGCAAGTTGTGTGACCCAATAATCAAAGATACATGATTATTAGTTGAATGGCATGGTCACAAGTCATTTAACTAGGGAATGTTGGTAAGAACTTGAAATCTTCGATCTTTTCCGGACCACAAGAAGGTACTGAAGATCGACTTCACATTATTGTGTCTGTGTGTGAGATTATTAATTAATTTCCAACTACTGTTTTGAATTTCTTGAACTGAAGAAAGATCAGGAAAACATCTTAGATGTGAAAGTGGAGCATCTACATTATTAAGGAGTTGGTATGAAAAATGTAGTTGAAAGTTGTCAGTTCTGCTGTGGTATGATCTATGAAAAATATAAATATAGAATAAAAATAGATTATATAATGGAAGATCTCAGTAAATTAAACATGGTCATATATAATTCTGTGTCTGAAAATTTCCTAGGTGAGTGTGTCATATGCCCAGTAAGTGTGCTTAAGAAAACATGAATTGCATATAAATATCTTCAGATCGAATTTAAGAGGGGAGTCTGCAGATGATATTTATGAGCTCCAATTATCCGAAAACTTTCTAGAATATTCGAAGGAAATGCACCAGATGCATATCTATTGAAGGTTTCCACTTCTGAACTGCTCTTTTTTCTCCACACCAGTGGTGTTAGTCAGTAGAAATATGACTTGTTTCACAACCTCATGACAATGGTTCAGACTGAGGACACAACAGAACAAACCCTTTATTTTATTTTATTTAATTATTATTATTTCTTTTTGGAGCTAGATTTTAAGGTCGCTTACATCGGACTCCTCTCAGACCCAGTAATGACGGGAGGCTCACGAACTGGCCGGACTAGCCCTGATGCGCAGTGAGATTTCAACCTTGGGACATGCATTCAGCATTTGTATATTCTCTCTGCCTCCATGGTTATATTTAATTATAGATACAAATGAGCTAAATGGCTACATAAAGATAAAACATATATAGTGTATGGCCTATAGGGTAGCTCATACCCCATTATATATATTATTTTTACACTAATCATATACTCTTACATGCATAGTACTGTTGACACCCATTTTGGTAATTGGGTTTGGGCTTCAATTGGACTTGATGATCAATGATATAGTAATATGGGCCAAGAACATAAAGCCTGGTCAGTGATGATGTGCTAGGAGTTTGGGCCGAGAAGGAAATCTGGGTCATGGAAGGTGATTAGATTGAAGGTGGTTTGGAATAGCATTTCAGTTGGAATAAAATCCATTAGTGCTATACATGAACAGTGACGTGGTAGTTCTCATACAAAATAACGCTATATGCAAGGATGCTACATGGATAGAATGTTCTTGTACTTTATGTTAGATAAGATTTATGTGTTTACTTGATTTTTGAATTAGTATTTATCTAGGAAAGTTTAGTTTGAATTTATTTTTAGTTGGTTTATCCATAGGATTAGATTTTATTTGGAATTAGTATTTAGTTAGGACTAGTTTAATTTGAATAATTATGTGGTTGTATTAGAATATAACCAGGATGCTTGTATTTAGGAATTTGTTTTACCATTTATTCTATAAATAAACAGAGAGACACGCTGTACAAGAGGTCCAGCACCCTCAGAATCAATTTATTTATTTGTTTGTTTTTTCAAGCACTTTCCCTAAATAGCATCCTTGCTACCTCTATCTCTCTCTATTTCAGTCGCGTTCTATTTCTCTCCCTATATCTCAGTCTCTCTATCTCTTCTCCCTATCACCTTCTATATCTGTTTTTCTCCCATTTCTATTCTCATATTGTTACTATAATTTATTCACTGGTAAAGTCCTTTTAACTAAGGCAATATTGAACTCATTTAGGAGTTTATTTGTTCTCTATCTCCTATAATCGCCTGAAGTCAACATTCCCTAAGAGACTATAAGTTGACAACTCACAATTGAACTATATATTTGGTTCTGGCACGCCCGCAACTCATCAATTTAAGATCGGCTCTAGCCAGCCGATTTTAGGGTCAACATTTTTGGCACGCCCGGTGGGACCCCATCAGGTGAGCAAGTTATAGTAAGGATGCCTCCAAAGCTAAGAGGTTCGAAAGGCGTGAATACAGGAGATAATACTGACGAAGAAAATCCACAGATCAGCGTAAGCGATGATGCCGACTCTTCTATTCCATCTGACGTTCCTTTGGGTCGGCTACTGGAATCGATTATGCAAAAATTCGATGCCCAGTAAGCTCAGATCGGTGCGGTGAGATCTCAAATGGGAGAATCAAATCAGCTTTTGGTTTTTCAAATTCATGAGATGAGATCGATGACAGGGGAGTTAAACCAAATGATGTACGCTCAGTTGGAGAAAATGAATCAAAAACTCGAAACCAATATATCGGCTAATCATAGCCGACATGATCAAGCCAAAGCATCTCATGTCAATGAGTCCATATTTCAGCGTATGACGGCTCCATTGGTGCATATATCCCAAGGACCACGAACAAGCACCGTACTGCCAAGTGCAGGACTTGGTGTTACGATCAGCAACGTGCTGAATCATACACTTGGCATGCTACTAGGAAATCCACAAATCTTATCAAATCCGTTGGTGGTGAATCCTGTACCGGTGTTCCAGTCTTTAATGAATGATCAGCCTGTGCAGCGTTCCAATGAGCAGTTGATTCCACCAGTGAGAAATCAGCAAGAAGGTGTCGGCCATCTAAACCAAGGTAGGGTCAATCCTTTGATACCTCCAGTGGCTGCTGGGGGACAAGTGAATGCCGATTCACAAAGGGAGTGGGTTAATCCATTCATTCCGCGGCACCCAAATGATCCTCCAGGAAGAAATGCAGGGATTGATAGGGCTCAGATTTTAGCTTTTATACAGGCCGAAGTGGCACAAGGTCGTAGACGTGCTCGGCCGGTATACAAAAAGCCCTATCCTGATCACGTTGATGCCCATGAGTTACCTAGAAATTATCAGTATCTCGATTTTTCTATGTACAGTGGCGAAGAAAATTTCTCTACAGTACAGCATATTACAAGGTTCACTGCACAATGTGGAGAAGCTAGGCCCAAGTCCTTGGTTGAGGATGAGATTATTCTCTAGTTCTCTTACCGGGGCGGCGTTTGAATGGTATAGCAACTTACCAGCCAACTCTATTTAGACTTGGGATGAAATGGAGGAAGCCTTCCATACCCATTTCTACCGAATAGAGACAGAGGCTATGCTGGCAGACATATCCCGTTTATCTCAGTTACCGAGCGAATTGGTTGAAACTTTCGTGGCCAGGTTCAGAAAAGCTAAACTCAAATGTCGAGTAAGTTTGCCAGAACCAGAATGCATCAAGTTGGCATTAAACGGTTTAGACATTGAACATCGCAAGAGGTTTGATAGGGTCGAGTTTCAAGATCTCTTCGATTTGGCAGATAGAGCTTCTCGGTATGAGGTTTAACTAAAGAAGAAAATAATTATTGAGTGGCTTACCTTCCCAATTAAGCCTGGTGAAGAGTCTTGGCAGGAAAATTCTAGCAACAGTCGTGTAAAGGCAGAAAAACAAAATTGGCTAGAATATATATCTAGCCGATTCCATTCCTAAAATCGACATCCCTCAAAAATAAAAATTATAGAAGAGGTCTTCGCTATTGATGTTGCCGAGTTAGATGATGATGATTGGAGGATTCCTTACATCTTATTCTTACCACATCCAACTCCAGAAGCCGATCGAAAAATAAAAAAAAGTGCAGTCGATTATGTACTTATGGATGGAGATCTTTATAGAAGATCGGCTAATGATGGTCTACTATTTCAATGTTTTAGCAAGTTTGAAGGTAGATTATAGCAGAGGTACACGAAGGAATATGTGGAGCTCACCAAGCCGGCATCAAAATGAAATGGTTGATACGCCGATATGGACATTATTGGCCTGGAATAAGGAAAGATTGCATTACCTATGCAAAGGGTTGTACAGATTGTCAAAAGCATGGCCCAATGCAGTGGATTCTAGCAATAGAGATGCAATTATTAGTCAAACCATGGCCCTTCAGAGATTGGGCCATGGACTTAATCGGCAAGATTAATCCTCCTTCATCAAAAGGTCATCATTGGATTATTTTAGCTACCGATTATTTCACCAAAAGGGTAGAAGCCGAGGAATATGTATCAGTAACTAGAGAAGTATTGCAACTCGGCTGTGATATGCAAGTAAAAATAGTAACTTCAACACCCTATTATGCTCAAGGGAATGGCCAGGCTGAGGCTTCGAATAAAGTTGTAATTGAAATCATTGAAAAAATGATAAAGGACAAGCCGAGGTGTTGGCATGGAACCTTTTTAGAAGCCGTGTGGTCTTATAGAAATTCAAAGCGAACAAGTACAGGAATAACTCCTTATCGGTTAACCTTTGGCCATGATGCTATGTTGCCAATGGAGTTAAATGTAAAATCAACAAAGGTAATGAAGGCTTACGACAAAAGGGTAAAGTTCAAGTCATTTGCAGAGGGTGATATGGTTTGGCAAACAATTCTCCCGCCTGGTAAAGTAGACAGAACTTATGGCAAGTGGTTACCTACATGGAATGGACCATATATAGTTCATCAGGTGTTGCATGGAGGTGCATATAAGTTGAAGGATTTGGATGGTGAGGTGCATGAAAGATCAATAAATAGAAGGTATTTGAAGAAGTATCAACCCATTATTTTTGAACTTTTTGACGAAAAGAAAGCCTCTAATAAGTCAAATATAGAGGGTGAGTGTTTAGCTTAAGCCATTTATGAACCTGGAATAATGATGACAGTGGGTGGTTCTAGGGTGTGTATATCAACTTGATACAATGGGTGTAATTTAAATTTTGGAAGCCGAAGGGTTGAAACGGCTACCAAAATTAGGGGGCATCGTTGACACCCATTTTGGTAATTGGGTTTGGGCTTCAATTGGACTTGATGATCAATGATATAGTAATATGGGCCAAGAACATAAAGCCTGGTCAGTGATGATGTGCTAGGAGTTTAGGCCGAGAAGGATATCTGGGTCATGGAAGGTGATTGGATTGAAGGTGGTTTTAAATAGCATTTCAGTTGGAATAAAATCCATTAGTGCTATACATGAACAATGACGTGGTAGTTCTCATACAAAATAACGCTATATGCAAGGATGCTACATGGATAGAATGTTCTTGTACTTTATGTTAGATAAGATTTATGTGTTTACTTGATTTTTGAATTAGTGTTTATCTAGGAATGTTTAGTTTGAATTTATTTTTAGTTGGTTTATCGATAGGATTAGATTTTATTTAGAATTAGTATTTAGTTAGGATTAGTTTAATTTGAATAATTATGTGGTTGTATTAGAATATAACTAGGATGCTTGTATTTGGGAATTTGTTTTACCATTTATTCTATAAATAAACAGAGAGGCACGCTGTACAAGAGGTCCAGCACCCTCAGAATCAATTTATTTATTTGTTTGCTTTTTCAAGCACTTTCCCTAAATAGCATCCTTGCTATCTCTATCTCTCTTTATTTCAGTCTCTCTATCTCTTCTCCCTATCACCTTCTATATATGTTTTTCTCCCATTTCTATTCTCATATTGTTACTATAATTTATTCACTGGTAAAGTCCTTTTAACTAAGGCAATATTGAACTCATTTAGGAGTTTATTTGTTCTCTATCTCCTATAATCGCCTGAAGTCAACATTCCCTAAGAGACTATAAGTTGACAACTTACAATTGAACCATATATTTGGTTCTGGCACGTCCGCAACTCATCAATTTAAGATCGGCTCTAGCCAGTCGATTTTAGGGTCAACATTTTTGGCACGCCCGGTGGGACCCCATCAGGTGAGCAAGTTATAGTAAGGATGCCTCCAAAGCTAAGAGGTTTGAAAGGCGTGAATACAGGAGATAATACTGACGAAGAAAATCCACAGATCGGCGTAGGCGATGATGCCGACTCTTCTATTCCATCCAACGTTCCTTTGGGTCGGGTACTGGAATCGATTATGCAAAAATTCGATGCCCAGCAAGCTCAGATCGGTGAGGTGAGATCTCAAATGGGAGAATCAAATCAGCTTTTGGTTTCTCAAATTCATGAGATGAGATCGATGATAGGGGAGTTAAACCAAATGATGTACGCTCAGTTGGAGAAAATGAATCAAAAACTTGAAACCAATATATCGGCTAATCAAAGCCGACATGATCAAGCTAAAGCATCTCATGTCAATGAGTCCATATTTCAGCGTATGATGGCTCCATTGGTGCATATATCCCAAGGACCACGAACAAGCACCGTACTGCCAAGTGCAGGACTTGGTGTACGATCAGCAACGTGCCGAATCATACACTTGGCATGCCAATAGGAAATCCACCAATCTTATCAAATCCGTTGGTGGTGAATCCTGTGCGGTGTTCCAGCCATTAATGAATGATCAGCCTGTGCAGCGTTCCAATGAGCAGCCGATTCCACCAGTGAGAAATCAGCAAGAAGGTGTCGGCTATCTAAACCAAGGTAGGGTCAATCCTTTGATACCTCCAGTGGCTGCTGGGGGGCAAGTGAATGCCGATCCACAAAGGGAGTGGGTTAATCCATTCATTCCGCGGCACCCAAATGATCCTCCAGGAAGAAATGCAGGGATTGATAGGGCTCAGATTTTAGCTTTTATACAGGCCGAAGTGGCCCAAGGTCGCAGACGTGCTCGGCCGGTATACAAAAAGCCCTATCCTGATCACGTTGATGCCCATGAGTTACCTAGAAATTATCGGTATCTCGATTTTTCTATGTACAGTGGCGAAGAAAATTTCTCTACAGTACAACATATTGCAAGGTTCACTGTACAATGTGGAGAAGCTAAGCCCAAGTCCTTGGTTGAGGATGAGATTATTCTCTAGTTCTCTTACCGGGGCGGCGTTTGAATGGTATAGCAACTTACCAGTCAACTCTATTCAGACTTGTGATAAGCGCCGAATATTGCATATTCAAGCGTCCTTAGTTGTATTAGTTAAGTCCATTATTCGATTATTCTATATAGATTATCTTCATTTGCACGTTTTTATATATTTTCAGGTTCATTGGCCAAAAAGGAGCAAAAATGATGTTTTGTTCAATCTTTGAATAACAATGTGCTCAAGGCTAAAGTTCTGGCAGTAGTGGAGTCTGATTTTGCTCGCCATTTGTGACCTATCAAACTCAAGAATTGGACTTCCATTATAACATTGTATATTTAGAGCTTTGAATTAGCTTTCCAAATCTTTAAACGGTTTGTCCTTTGGAGTTCGGAGCAGAAAGTTATGGCTGTTTTACCAAAGTAGTGCATAGTAGGTCAAGAGAAATGAGCATACTGGTCCAACTTCGAGCGCTCGAAGTGCTTAGTTAGAGCACTCGAACTTTAAGTAGAATACTCTCCGGGATCCATCACTTCAGCCCACTTACACCTTGATTCCCTCATTTCTGATTTCCATCTTTATGGGTTGGTTGGAGATGTTTTTTGGTGGGAGTTGAGCATTGTTTGGTGGGAGAGGATGTCTACAAGGTGAGGGGAACCACACAAAGAAGATCATATCTCATCTTTGCAAGATTTCTAGAGAGAGAAAGAGGAGGAGAAGATAAAGTTCTTGAAGCTACAACAAAGGAGCTCGAAAATGGAGGTTGCATCCAAGCTTCTTCCTTCTTCTAAAGCTCCCATGGGTAACTAAACCTCCATCTAGGGAGGTGATGAGGCCCCTCCCTTGTAAGCATGTTCTAATTTAGGCTATATTTTGGGAATTAAAATGTATATTCTATGGTCTTTTCATAACCAAGAGCACTTCATTTCTTGTAATGAATGTTGATATATGTATGAATGATTTCTTTAAGTTGATTATCTTGTTTTAGATGATGTCTTATATTAATCATATTGCTTAAGTTTTCATGGTGAGAATGGAGGCAAGGTTATGAAATGGTTTAATGGCATGTTGATAAGGACTTTGATAGATTATTGCTTAGGTGAAACCTTTGATGATTTATGCTTATTTCTTACCTTCATGTGCTTCATCATTTTGTCTAGGGCTTGATAGTCTTTCATTCAAGTAAATGTGGTTAAGCTACACCTTAGTTAGGCAGTCTAAACATGTTAACCTTTGATGGATCATGCTTGCTTCAGATTTAATGAACTTCTTGAGGATATTATAGCAACCAAGTGTTGTTATGTATCATGACCATAATATATATTGTTTTTCTCCCAATTTAGCTCTAATCTAGCATGTGTATAGGGATGGAGGCGGATTCACTTCCCTAGTCCTCTTTACTTGTATTTCATCTCCTTTAAATTCTTGCAAGCTTTTATTTTATGCACCTTAATTTCATAGCTTAAGTGACAACCAACAAATCCTCTATGAACATCCCTATCATTCTAAAAAGACTCTAGATACTTAGGTTGCCATAGATTAGCGCAGTCCCAGTGGTTCGACTTACCTGACCAATAGCCCTATTTTACAATGTTTTGTGCTATTGCGAAGGTTGATTTATAATTGTAATCGACTCAACTGATCAATTTTTGGCGCCGTTGCCGGGGACTGCAAACAGTTTAGCAACTGAAGTTTTAGGGTTAATTTTAGTGTGATTGTTAATATCATGAATTGTGTTTCTTTTTTTAGTTTGACCACCATGTGTTGTAAGTGAGATTCTAGGGACTCGAAGTTCGCCGAGGGAAAGCTAGCTAATTTGTAAGTCTAGAGGACCCCAGGTAAGTCTCTTGACCTTCTAGTTTCGTCATTTTAATATATTGTGCATGTGTTAAACTTAGTGATAATTTAGTTTTAAAGCCCTGGTTGAGGCTTTTATCTTGTTTAAATTTCGTGTACAAGCATCGGTCCTTGTCGTGGCCATTTAAATTATGTCTTGATAATTGAGGAGAATGGGAACATCGTATGTGGAGTTGTGAATGATGAATAGTAGCATTGATAACATTATGTAATGTTGATGTTTGGCCATAGATCGCTCTCCTTACCAACTCTTGACTCGCCAGTTGACATAAATTCACTTGAAAGAACTCTTAGACGAAACCTTAGGGAATCTTCTAGCGTAAGAGAACTTGAAATTGAATTTAACACAATGGCTGAAAATGTAGGAGATGTCAGAAATGAGGGAATAAATAATGATAGGGCCGAAATTCCAAATGTAGAGCCAATGACTCTGAGGGACCATTTCATCCCTACTACATATGCTTCACCTTCATGCATAGTGATGCCAGACATCGATGCGGCTCAATATGAGATCAAATCAAGTACCATTCAAATGCTTCCATCTTTCCATGGCCTTGATAATGAAGATTTGTATAAGTATCTTGATGAATTCCTTGAAATCTGTTCGACCATCCGGTTGAGAGGTTTTCCTGAGAATGCACTCCATCTGCATCTTTTCCCATTTTCTTTAAAAGATAGGGCAAACTCACTCACTCCAAATTCCATCACTTCTTGGGCTCAATTATAGCAAGAATTCCTTAAAAAGTATTATCCGGTGAGTAAAACCAACCAAATGAGGCGTTCCATTCTTAGTTTTTCTCAAATGGATGGAGAATAAACCTACGAGACTTGGGAAAGGCTACAAGACCTTCTTAGAAAATGTCCGCATCATTTGATTCCAAAATGGCAATTAGTGCAAGCTTTCTATGCTAGCTTGACCGAACCCCATAGATTCATGGTTGACTCTTCTTGTGGTGGGATGTTCATGTCCAAGAATGCGGATGAGGCTTGGACCCTACTAGAGAATTTAAGTGAAAATTCACTTCAAC